CGATGAATTTCTTACTTTTTGGAGAACGTCTGCATGAACAATGGAAACATAATATTTGAATGTTTTACTCCTGATACTAGAATCTTTTTCTTAACATGTTTATCTTCCCTTTATTCTCCACTTTTCACTAGACAAAGCATGGAAAATATCAAAATGTTTTAATCTTATCACTTTGGCAGGCATTATAGAAAGAGATTTTTTTATGAATAAAGAAATGGAAAACTTACAATTTAAAAGATTCATCTAATGTGTCTAAAGGCATCGTACACAGAGCTGGTGTATGCATTTTCCCACCTGATGCAATCTCTGTGTATCCTAATTTCTGCTTCCAATGCCTGCTCTCATTCTAAAAGCTTTGCCATTTCTAGATTTTGTTGGTCGTGTGTCACTAAATTCTAAAAATTCTGCCACACCAGCGCTGTAATAGCCTTTACCATGTATATTTCATATTTCTCTGAATGTTCATATTACTAAATAAAATTGGCCGCTTTTCTGTACATTTGCATTTAGAGTTTTTTAGAATAACAGAAATCGTAATTAATCCAAAAATTTTAAAGGAAACACGTGAAGAAAGAAACCGAAATACATAAAGAAAATTATTCTTCAAAGATATGTGCAGTATTATTATGTAAATTACCCAATTGTTATCATTTCAGCCTTTACTATAACTTCCCATTCTGTTCCTCATATGATAGAGTTACTGAGCAGAATAAATTAAAATTAAATGTATATCTTTGACCACTAGTCCACATTTTAGTTTGAATTTGACGTTCTTGTTTAATTACATCACCGTTAGCTGTAATTGATTTTGTTAGCATCAGAACAGGCCTTTATGTTCTAAGTTCTTTGTTGATATTGTAGTTACTTTCAGATACAGTGATAATTGCTTCACGTCTATCGGGGGGGGGGTTACTATTTAACTTTTCCTAGATCAGTAAACCCTCATAGGTACATTGTGGAGAGGTTGACAAGTTAGGACATAAATCACACACGAAACTAGAAGAACATTGGTTTGCATATTGAGACAATTCTAATATTGTCAGAAAAGATTGATAATTAAGAAGGAATAAGCTACAATAAGCGATATAAACTAGCCAAAATATTTGGGAAGGCTTGTAGAGACATTAGGTATTTTTGAAAGCAAGAAAGATAAAAATTAACATCGCCTTCGCCGGGAATCGAACCGCGTACCTCTGGAATACCGCTACCAGTGTGCAAACCACTACACCACGAAGGGTCGCCAAGAAGGTGGGAGAAATACCTTATACAGTCAAAAGTCTTTAATCCGGACTCGTCGAAGCTTCGGTGATTCCGGATTATCGATTTTTCCGGATTATGGATCATCAGTTTAAATCTGGTAAGATGGCATGCAGAAATTATAAAATTAAAAATAGGAAACCGTAATTTATAAAATAATGAGCAATTATTATATCTAAAGGGTATCAAAATTTACAAAAAAAAAAAAAAAAAAAAAAAAAAAAAAAAAAGCTTAATATTTATTTGTTTTATTTTATTAAACATTTCTTTCAACGCGTACATGCGTAAAGCAGACTTTACACATTAGTCGAAATTAGGAAATTGCAACCAGAAAACTATTTGATTTGTATTCGTGATATTTATGATGATGAGGAATTTGATTTAAATCATACCAAGGACGGAGTACAATGAGGATGAATACTACATTTAGTAAGGAATTATAAGCGGAATAAAATAAAAACATCTGCCTGCAAGATAAGGATATTGCTGACAGATCAACTTCCACTTCATTGCACGCCTGCGACGTCCCCCCCCCCCCCCCTAGAGCAGCGTGAAATTTCGATAAACAGATTTCGGAACGTTTAGATAAAACAAAGGATATGCCTTTATCCATTTTTTGGAGCAATTCCACTTTTTGTTTGATGGACATTGAAACATACTTTCATTTTGTAGATCCTTTGGGAGCTCCAGCATTGAAAATTCTATTTGACATAATCGAAAGTTCAAGCTTACTTTTATAAAATTGATCTTACAGTCTGCAAAAATTTATAAGCCGGATCCAATTCGAAGATTAAGGAACAACGCAATTATCAACATTAACTGAAATAGATAATTAGATAATTTAACTTATACCGTCCGTTATACATTAAACGTGCACACGAAAACGTATTCTGTGCTTGTGCACACGCATATGCGCAGTTGTAAAGGTCTTACACGCACGCGTAAACGCCTATGCGCCGAAAGTTTTTAGCTTTGAGGTCCGGATTATGGGTGTCTGAATTAACGACTTTTGACTGTATACTCCTCCTTTTAAAGGGCGACTGGGATTTTTAGGGAATCCAATCGCCAAATCCTTTGTGTGGAGAACCATCATCCAATACCGATCAAGTAACCATCAACACCATCAAGTAAACCTTATTCTTTGCATCTACTGAAACTTTATATAAAACAACTTATCACCTGTGGCGCTTTAATGGCTTATTGGAACCTTAAAGTATATTAACTGGGTTACAACCCCTGAAACTCTACATACATTGATGCTATGACATTAACTGCATTAAGCAGAGCTTGACTAACTTTCAACACTTGCCAACCATGCCTACATCAGGCCTTTCAGTTTTGTTGCAATCAGCAGGTCTCTCTATAGACAAGCAGCAGAGGGACAACATTCAGTCTTTTGTTATAAATCATGCTGATTATGATCTCATTTTAACCTATGCCATTTGACATAAAATCTTCTTACTATTTGTTAAACTGACCAAGTATGTGACAAAATGAGACATTAAAAAAAAAAAAAAAAAAAAAAAAAAAAAAAAAAACCAGCAAAAGCTAACTATGTATTAATAAAACGTAAATGTCGCTTATCTTCTTTTAAATATGTCCAACTATTATAAGTATAAAATATTTAATGCTAGTTGATAAACTGCATGAAGTTTATTTTATTCTCAAACTTATTAATAATTATGTTAGTTAATTCATGTTTAGTAATAATGCATACTACTTAGGGATCTATTTTATTTTTAGGATGGTATTACAAAAGTGAAATTCAGGATTAGAATAATATTTTTAATTGAATTTATTGTTCCCATTTGCTCATAGGTCCTAATTTTTTTCATTAATGGTTCTTAAAAGTACTTAATTTCCGTGTGCAGAAATGTGTACGAGCTCTGTTATTAGTGAATCCTCACTTTATATTTTCCTGGGATTTCACTAAAATCTCGCATAAGCCGCCGTTTGGTAGGTGTTGACATTGTGCGTCTTGGGGCCCCTTGTCTGGCCTGTTCCTCTTTTAATTGTATGGTTTTTCTGGAGTCAGTGGCAAGAGCTATAGACTCGGCCATGGTACGGTTGAGTTCCCGGCCTTGCGGCTGCGTGCTCGCGACGGTAGTAGTAAATACCACCTAGACTACACCATAATTTCCTAATAAACAAGTAATTTTGCACAATGGGGGGTGTAGTTCTAGTCCTACAAGTAGCAAGGGAGTTAATCTAAAATGAATTACTGTTTATCTGTAGTTTGGGCCATTAATTTAAGGAACTGTTAACAAATGTGAAACTTCCAGTTCTAAACACTTACAACTATGTGAAAACATATGTTAACTGAAAATTTGTTAATAGTTAGCCCATTTGGTCTGCTTTAGTCCAAATATTACCTTATTTAATTTTTTCCTCCTCCTCATTCTTTGTAATAGTTTCACGTAAGATGACCTTAGTTGTTTTATTGAGATGTATTAGGGTGACTGAATATTCTCTGTAGCTCAGCTATAGGTTTTTTTTGGGGGGAGGGGAGATTGTTTCTTGTGGATAAATTTATTGCTGATTTATTTTTGTAATAATTTTGTTTTGAAAAGTGTCAAAAGTAACTGAAAATGGCAACTGCTGAATGCTGATAATGGAAAGTTGGATTATCAGATATGCCTAACTTTTGGAGGCTAAACTGTCAGACTTATACTATTTTATAATTTTGGACCTGGTGGTTGTAGCTTAAAAGGATGAACATATCCATAGAGATCGAATATTCCAAACAGAGCTTTGTTTGAAGTCTTGATTTTTCTTTTTTCACTGTTGGTTGGTAAATCTAGTCCTTCAGAAATGAATCCATTTGCACAAAAATAATATTGTTGCAAATAAGAAGTGATGTCTTAGAATGAGAATTAACACAAGATATGAAACCATTTTTTAAGTTTCTTAATGATGTCAGAGCCTGGGTGCAAAGACATTAAAAACAATATGTTTGGGTTATTAATCAAAGATGTGGTTAGGGGTTAACTAAGGATGTGAATTTGTATATGCCATTTTTAATATTCTATAATTTCATCTGCTAGTCTCAAAAAATTATTTTCTGTTATCTGTTTTTAAATGGTATATATTCTTTATGTATGAATTTTTACTATAATGAAAACTGATACATTAGGAGCAATGAATATGGATACATCAGACATGTACAGCCTTTAACCTGGGTGAGACAATGGGAAAATAAACATCCAAAGGATTAACATTGTTTTAACTGACAAATTTATAACACATAACAATGTTATGCATAGACTTACCAACAATAGTTTCTTTTAAAAAAATCGTACATCTTTAGTCAAATATATAAAAGATCATCATCTTTTAAAAATAGACTGGAAGGAAGTTAAGATCATCAGTACAACCACCTTCAAAAACAGTCTTAAAATTAGATAAGCAATAAAAATTATTCTAGGCCATTTTTCAGTACAAAAATTTCAACCATTTTTTATGTGAGAAGATTATAGGAGAAGTGTATAAACAAAAACAGAAAACTATGAAACAAGATACTAATTAGATTCCAGCTGACAAAGCAAGCTGTTCTATAAAAAACTCAGAAGTGAGTAAGAATTTAAGAGTATAGAATTTAAACTTCAGCCTAGTAATGAGTAAAACTTAAATTACATAAGAAGTTCATTGTATTGAATTATAAGAAGGGGTTTGAAATTATGATTTTGTACTTAATATATTTTTTCTGATTTTGCTATTTTAATATAGTGGTTGTATATTTTCAGAAAGCATTATGGGAATCGATGTGCAGAGTTAAACCTGATGTAACAGATAAGGAAAAAGAAAGAGAACTAATGAGAATAGCTACAAGGTATTTTTTTTGCTGTAACAATCCTATATTTATAAAGTTGTAATATACAGTACAAAGTCCGAGATCTGGACGTCCAATTTCCAGAATCCTCAATGACACTTTTTTTTTATGCTTTACGCATGCGTATTTGATTCCCTCTGCCGCCCATATTAAAACACGTGGAGAGATCCAATTCTTAATTTCACTTCGGCACTAAATAAAATGCCTCATTAGTGAAGAAACAATAATTTTAACATAAATTTGTATGATCAAGAATTTGGCTCCAATCCATATCTGCTCGGTATAAATCTCAAACCGAAACATTCAACATAGATACATTATTGATTTTACATCTGCTAATATTTTATATCCCTGATGCCAACCTGGCGAATCGTTATTTATTATATTTTGCTTTCATCACCGCATGTTTATCAACACATGACAAATTGAGTAATGACTCATGTAGCAATGCCTAAAAAAAATTTCTATGTTAGTAATTGAATAATAAAGAGTATGGTAACCTTTTACGTTTATATTACGCTTGGCGATGATTACAGATTTAGGTTAAATGCGCAAGAAATGTTGACGAGGAAAAATTTAACAAAAATTTCTTTCCATATGCTAAAAATAGATTTTCTTAATGATACTCTTAGGCCATTAGTGCTATTTGTATTAGGAATTACGAATTTGTTATTCACATGAACCCAGAACCAGTGCCAGGGCTCATATAGCCGCACTGGGTGGCAGAATTTAGGAAGACAAAGAGAGGCACTTGGTAGCAGAATTTCAGAACCCACAGGAGACTGCATCAGGCAGTAAGATATGTAGCGCCTGCCCTCAATAACCCTTAAGTATATGTGGGAATTTATTTATTCAGGACTTAGATAAGCCTTTAGCATGTGCAAGAATTAGACATAAGTATAATAAAATAACTAATACAATTCAGGCTTAATTGTCTCAGTGCGTGTTAGAAGCAAGATAAAATTTAATGGAGCAACTTGTCTTAGTCGTCAATCTCATGATACGCAGCGAAATATGTATAGTGAATGATAGCTAAATTTCATGATGATAGCAGTGAATCTGAAGGTTTTCGAATGTCGCAAACCAAAGGTGAAATTTTCTAATTAATGGATTTTGTAAAGAAATGTGGTGAAGCGGTAATAAATGAAGATTATATAAAGGAGTTAAAGGAGTAGATTTAAACTCGTTATCTAATATCCGGCAAATACGGAATCACGGGTATCCCGACGAGTCCGGATTTCGGACTTTGTACTGTATATATTTACAAATAAAATTATCTAAAAAATAAGAAGTTTTTTAATTTATCAATAATTTCATCTCAAGTTTTATGTAGGAACATATCATTCAAAGATAAAAAGGAAGCTCAATTCATCAAAGACTACATGCAAAATCTAAGACTTTTAAACTGCACAAAACTTTTTTTCAATTTTAAACTTAAATGGGAACAGCAGAGTCTTCAATAAAAAAATCATTAGTTAAAATGTCTTTCACTGCTTTCGAGCTGCAGTTTTATTGCATTACTTTTCATTACTCGCCCCCCCAAAAAAAATTGCTGTTTTCTCTCGAATTAGCATTATATTTACTGGAGTGCCATATTAGCACACTTTAAGTCACAGTATTAAAAATTCTTAATTTTTACTAACAATCATCCATGGAATAGATCCTCAACCAATAAAAGTTTTATGATTTTTGGCCCTTGTTAAAAGGTCAAAATATCACAGCCACCCCTAATCAATGCATTTCATGTGTACCAATTCCTTTAGATTTTTTTCCTTTGAAATTTAGATGCATAAGAATTTAGAGTAAGTAAACTAGATGCATATCAAAGATTTCCAGCTTCAAGAATTCGCACCCCAATAAATGAGCCAAAAATAGTTATGATTAAGAAGAAAGAATTGATTTCAACTTCATCTCAAAATCAGTAACAAAGGGGAAAAGGAGCTTCATTCATTCATAGCGAAATTTCATTCTCACTATAATGCAGAGCTTCTGGCTTCAAGGTTATTTCTAATTGTTGTGGATTCATTAACAGGAATTGCTGATAAAATAGGAGTTTGGTAGGCACTGGTACAACTAGATTAGATTGTGAATAAAGGATCCTTTTCGTCTTCTATGTATGAGAAGACAGAGTTGTTTTCTCTTTCCCTAGTGAGAAGCAAGGAACGGGAAGCACACTTGAAAACAAAGGTGTGCTTGAAAATAAAAGGACTTTTTACGTTGAAATTGTGAGAAAGCTTTTGTAGAAGGTAAATGGATATGGCAACTTTCCCAACCCCCCCCCCCCCAAAAAAAAAAAAAAAAAAAAAAAAAAAAAAAAAAAAACTTGGAGCAATGGCACTATTTATTGTTTACTTGTTCCTTGAACAGTACACAAATGTATTATTTTCATAATATACGTTATGTTCAGGTGTGATGTACCTTGAAGAATTTCCCATGGCAAATGAGAAGAGGAAAGTACCCTACTCATCTTTCTTGGGGTGCAGTAGAAAATATGTAATTGCTGTATGGTTATAATTGGTTCAAAAAGGCTGTAACAGATTGCAACTGATGAATTATATTCATGGCGATTGCATCACACAATGGCGTTTAATTAATAAATGGGTTAAATACAAAAGAAATTGCAAAAAAAAAAAAAAAAAAGGCTTTGTTTTCGGCTTCCTTTCTTTCCTTGAATTAGATCAGAGAGTAGCAATATGAAGGGAAAAGTGGGGGATATGAGGATGATTAGTAGAAGTTAGTCGGAATTAAAGAAAAAGAATTAGCACAAAAAATGAAGCAACTTGAACAACTTACGTTGAAAGAAATAAGTAAAAAATTAATATTAAGCTTTTTTTTTTTTTTTTTTTTAGTAAATTTTGATTTTTTTAAAATTTTTTTGTAATTTTGAGGCATTTATGATTTTTGATCATAAATGTTTCATTACTTCATAATTCACAATTCCATATTTTTAATTTTATAATTTCTACATGCCATTTTACTAGATTTAAACTGATGATCTAATATCCAGATAAATCCGGAATCGCAGCATCTGGATGACTCCGGATCTTGGACTTTGTACTGTATTAGAAATATAATGATCATTATTAAGTTGATGACTGTGGTATTAAGCAAATGATTGGTTCACAATTGCACATGAATGTGTGTTTGCCTTGGTCTCATTAATAACTCCGCTGTAAGTTTTAGACACTTAAATCTTTTCTCGTTGCAATAAATGGAAATAAAATTAAATATTTTTAATGTGCTTAATGTATTATTTCAAAACAAAATTTTGGAAAAAAATTTAAAGCTTAGTAATTTTTTACATTTTAGTTGAGTTAGCTTAAATTACTTATTATGCACACAAGCACTGTCCGCTTTCATAGATAACTTTCTGAAGAAGATTGGCTTGTATTTATATTATATACAAAGAAAACCATTTAAATCATGTGATTTGTAATAATGATGTATATAATCATACAGAGTTGCTGGGAGAGCTGAACATGGAAAAAACTATTGATAATCATTGATCTTGTGCACTTGGCCACCTCTGTGGCAAAATTTGAGTAAACTAATCAGTTATAACATAAATTATCTAAAATTCTTTCATATAGAAATACTGTTGGATAAATCTAGGTTGCATAATGTATTATTAAATAAAAGAATAATTATCCCCTTCAAGGCATCTGCATTACTGTAGACTTTCTTCCAATCACTGCTCAGGATTAAAACAAAGATTTTCCGAACTTATAAATGCTATTGCAACTCTTATTCATCACTTTTTCGCCTGCTGCTGCCTAGGACAGTCTTGTCTCTTCACTAAACTTCTTTCCGTACTAACTAAAGTGTAAGCTGCGTATGTAGAAATTGTGGCTCACGTTTAGCTTCCCTAGTAACAATTCAGCAAAAACATATTTTTGAAGAATTGTTCCTGTTCAAAATAAAAGTGATGCTTTAACCATCGAGTCAAATGTGATTTTCCCTCCAGTCATTATGTATGCAGGAGTTTCTTGGTCATGCCTAAAACTGGTTGAAAGTTCTGTCGATGTACTAACAAAATTACTACACACACACATGTACATATATAGGTGTGTGTGTACACATGAAAACAAATTATAAAATTTTTTTTCATGCATAAAGCTGTAGAATTAAATAGTTAATATAGCTAGCTGTAAGTTTTATTATATATGTGTAAAGCAGTAATAGTATGTAGATCTGCAAGTAAAAGTATAGTACATGATATATTGGAATACATTATTAGGAACTTAACAGATGTATGAAAGTTGAAATAAAAACTGATATCACACATAATACACCTTTATCACACACAACCCCTATCAAAAAAAAAAGTTCATATATCCCCCCTTCATTTAAAGTCCCAGTAACAGAAACAGTGGGGGGGATAAAAAGATCTGTAGGTATATATCTGGTTGTAATGAAAGTTTTTCGCCAAAAAACATTCTTAACATTACATAGTTAGGGGGAAAAACATAAAAGCAGTATCTTTAGTAAAAGTAGTAATTACCACCCAAATCTATGATTTTCTCTATGATGTTTGGTGGTTTTTCAAAGCCTTTGGTCCAGAAATTTGGCGACTGTGAGTCCAAAAACAGATCAACCTCATTTCAGACGTCTTGTGCAGAATGGAATAAAGCACCAACAAGATGTAGCTGCAGATTTGATAAAAGGTAGAAGTCCAAAGGAGCGATGTTGCTGTTATTGGTGGGTGTGACAAAAAATCCCATTCGAGCCCATACAGAGTCCAGCCGGTGAATGCAGACACGTGTGATCTTGCATTATCTTTATGGAACATTAGCTTTTTGCACCAGAAGTCATTTCGATATTTTCCCTTGATAGCAGCATCAACATAAACTAGCATCTTGCTTTACACCTTACTGTTAAGGGTTTTACCTTTTTCCTGATACTACTGTGGAATAATATCATGGCAGTCCCACCAGATACAAAGTATGATCTTTTTGTTAGTCAAATTGTACTTTGTGATGCTGCCGGCGGGCACATTGGGTGCAGACCAACCTCCTTTTCAGCCTGTGTGTTGTTGAAGTAAATCCACTTTTTATCACAAGTGATGATCCTGTCCAGAATTTTGTCCTTCCCTTGATATTCGAGCAAATTAGTGCAGGCCCCAAGCATGTCTGTTCTTATCTGCTTGAGTTAACTCATGTGGCACCCAACTATTGAATTTGTATGTCAAGTTTGTGTGATGCATAACATGACTAATGGACATGGCACTAACATCTAATTCCTTAGCAAGCTCTCAAGTGGTTACATACTAATTTTCTTCCAAAGGTTCTCGCAGGCGGGCCTCAGCAATATCAGTAGGCTGACCAGAGTGCTCTGCTTCTTAAATGTCATAGTCCTTGTTTTTGAACTTTCAGTACCAATCCTTCACAGTGTCATATGATAAAATGTTAGTAGCTAAAGATTTACATATGATTGGTGACATTTTGTAGCTGACTTTTGCAATAGAACTGAAAGTAAATGATGGTTCTAATCTGGAACCATGATAGTTCCATTTCAGACACCTTGTACTTAATGATAACGATACTTTTTTTACAAATTTCACAACATAGTGTTCTGAAGCAAGTCTTTCTTTCAAATGCCAAAAATCGTGTAACACAATATATTTTAAACACACCAATGTGACTGTTTGTGTTGATGATATTTGCGATGGCGGGGAAACTTTCGTTAAAACCTTATATATATATATATATCTGTATGTATATTACATATGAATGTACACTTGATTTACTTTTACTTAATATTTTTTTCAGTTTCTGAAATATGTATCACAGTTTTTTATGTTGCAAAAGAAAAAAAAAAAAAAAAAAAAAAAAGGTAGTTTGCTAATGGTATATTTTAATTTCCTCTTCCCCAGAGGTGTTGTGCATCTATTCAATTCAGTGAAGCAACATAGGAAGGTTTTAAATAGTAGCAAGCTTCAAGAGAAGAAAAAGCCAAAAATAAATGTTATAAAGGGTAATTTTATGGACATTCTGAAAGGACATTCTAAGCCAACTGAAAAAAAGGTCCAAGTAAGTTTATTGCTGATATGTGTTAAATAATATTCTTAAATGTATGCAAATATTTAAAAACAAATTTTTTTTAATGTTTTGTTTGGCAATTCTTCATAGAGCAAATAATATTTAATCTCTGGTTATTAAATAATGAAGAATCTGTATGTATGTGTGTTCCTCACGCTGTAGAAAATCAGTGATAGCTGGAGTCACTCAATTTTGAATATACATAGTCCATCACCTGAATTGACGCACCTCAAAGCCCGAATTCTGATTTTTTAAAATTTATTTCACATTTTGTACAAATTGAATTTATTTTATTAGCAAACTCAGCGATTTAAAAGCAGGCAGGGGCAAGAGTGCTTAAAATAAAATATTTTATTAACCTCCACCATGACATTTGGCACTGTTACAATTTGGCAAAATGTAAGTTATATATCTTTCAGTTTTAATCAAAAAACTCGGATATATAAAAAGCAATGTCTTACCACTGCCTGAAATATAATGCTTTTATCTTCCATGCACTAGCCTGTTGCCATTTTGCAAAGCATATTTAACTTTAAAATGTAATTTGTCTGCTATTGATTAATAAGTGATTAAAAAGCAATAAACACAGGCCTTAAGAATATTTTTTCTACTTTTTAATCTGATTGCTCTAATAAAAAAATAAAATATTTAAATTGCATTTAAATCATGAGATGTCCACTTATAAATATTAAGTATTTTTATACTCTAGCTAGACTCTTTAAAATTATTATATATTCATTTCTTTTTCATAAGTATTATTTTAGGCAGCTAGTCCTCTAAAAAAGATCAAAATTGTAGTACTTATTAAGCTACATATTAAATTGAAAAATGAAAATTTGAATCTTAAAATTGTATTAATTTATTTAGTTTTATGTTTAGTTACTTTCTCACATGGTGTTTATGAATATTTAGGCATTTATGATAAAATGTCCATAGTATATTTTTAATGTCTTCAGCATGGAAATATTCCATTTAGCCAGCTCACAAATTACAATTTTGGTTTACAGTTTTTATGCATGTATCATGAAAGAATGTTTGGATGTGGTAAGAAATTAATAGGAGCAAGATTTGAACCAGAGGAAAGATGTGTAAAAATATTCAATCTGAACTCTATGCCTGAGTTTTCATAGGAATATTTAGACATAGTTTATCATCTAACACAAAATTTCTCTGTGAACCACAAATTGTCCTTGAAGCTTACCCATGTTGTCTTTCTGAATTTCCAAAAAACACAAAAATCTCTAGACCTTATTATGAGTGAAAACAAAATATGGTGAACTGTACATACATTGTTGTAAAAATTATAATTGTATTTTCTTCTACATTATGTGAAAGAAAGGATTTTCATCACTACCTTGAGTAAAAACGAAGTACAGAAATTGACCTGATGTATGTACTGATCTCAGACTTAAGCTTACCAATATAATTCAAACATAGAACAGCTGTGCAAGAATTGGAGAGCTTATCTGTCTCATTAATGTGATGCTTATTTAGCAATATAAAATTATATTAATTTTAATTAATTGTATTTTAAAAATCTAAGTATACAGGTAGCACATGTTAAGCTAAAAAGTTGCTTTCGTAGGGGACGAGTAAAATGGTCCGTAGAACACCCTTATTTATAAAAATGGTCCCCATTTTGGGGTCAGAGAAATTTCATCTTTTATCACTAGCCATGAATAAGAATTTTTAAAGGTATTTATTGTGGTGTTTTCTTGAGAATATCTGACCCAGTTTCCTTCAATTCTGAGTTATCTAGCACAAACCTTTGATATCCTCAGCCTTTTGTGCATGATTTTTTTCACTCATCCAACATTTATGTCCATTTTTATAACAGTCTAAGATACTGTCACTTTTTTTTTTTCCTGTCATATTTTTCTTGTTGCTAGCACATATTTCTTTGTAACTACACTGTGGCCTGATCTGGGATCATCATCATCTTCAGTGACTTTCTTCATCCTGTTTTCATTTGCTTCCTTAAGTAGGTAAAGTGCAGTTGCTCAGACTGAAAATTGGACACTTACATTTTGATAAAACAATTATCAACATCAGAACTTATTAAATAAAATGTAAAATAGCCTTTGTAAATTAATGTTTAAATACATGTTGATTTATCATAAACAAAAGAGAAAATTAGCTACCATTAATTTTTAAAACATTTTTAAACTTATAGAGTGAAGATTCATCTAGAAATAAATGACGGATATTTATAACTTTGTGATTTTTCTAACTTAAAATGCAAATTTCAACATTTTTCATGAGCTTCTTGTGTCAGTATTAATATATTAGTTTAATTATTCTTTGCTTGCTAATTTTCCTTTTGATGATTAAGAATGAGAAACCAGATCTTAGGAAATTCATATTTTAATGATGAATTGTCAGTAAGAAATAATATAGAAATAGTGCAACAGAGTCATTCAATAATAACATTACATAATAAAGTGATTTAAGACAAGAAGCACCGTTGGAAATAAATTGAATTCAATGAAGTAAAAGATTTTTTTTACAGATTCTGAAGGATTTAAGTACCAAAGAAAACTCAAAATTAAGTGCTTCTAAATTGTCTGTGAAAGCAGAAAATCATTTGGGAGAAGAGCGAATTAAGAAACAATAATAATTATTCTAGGGGAAAATAATTTCAGTTGATGAGAAAGTCTTCATGAGCAAAATCAATCATTTAAAAAAATTAAAATTTGCAAAATTTTATAAAAAAAAAGATTTTTCATTTTGAAGGGCAGTTTTATTTATGAGAAAATGCAAATTTAATGTATTTTGTTTGGATGGGCGAACATATGTTTGGAGAAGGCCAAATGAAGAGTATAAAGAAAAAATATTAAAAAACCTATTCTTAAACTTTAATCGTGGATTGATAATGACATGGCTATCAGTGTTAGCTGCTGGGGCAGGTAACCTACATGCATCGATGGAATAATGGATCAAAATAATTATTTACAAATTCTGAAAGAAAATGTTAAAGAGAATTAAAAATTAGATATAGATGATTGTTTTCATCTTTATTAAGATAATGATCTAAATCATAATGCCTTGTATGTTAGACTGTAGTTTCTTTATAATTGTTTTTATGTTAATAGATTTACCTCCTCAATCTCCAGACATAAATACAATTAAAATTTATGGGCACATTTGTAAGAAAAATTAAGAAATCATTTCATATCCACAAAAGCATTAAAAGAAGAACAGTGAAAATTGCTTTTAATTATTGCTAAAATGCAGTCCATTCAATTTCAAACAGATTAAAAGTTGTTATAGTAAATAATGGCTTTATTAAATTTCATTTAAATAATCCAAATTAATTAAAACAATAATTACATTCTAATTTTGAGATTACCTTTTGTTTTTATATTTTAATTTTTTCAAACTTAATACAGAAAGGTTTTGCTTTATTGTTTCTTGAATTTATATGTTCTTTAAAAGAGGAAATAAAAATGGTTTATATCTTTAAATTAATTTCCTTTTATTATAAGTCATTTCATAAAGCATAAAAAAGCAGGTCTCTGAATTTAACTTTGAGCCAATGTAAGTTATTAAGAGAGGATTTCAGTCTTATGGTTAATGATTTAATAGCAAAATAGCAAGTTAACATAAAGTTTATACAAATAAAGATGATAAAATTCATCAAAAAAAATTTAAAGACGTCTAATCCAGGAGGGAAACACTATGAAAATCTTCCTTGACATTTCAGTGTGAGGAAGAAGATAATCCTGAGTATGTTATTAACCCCATGAAATCTAGGAAGTTTTTAACCTAGAAAAATTAATCAGCCAATTATCATCTAAAAATATTTTTGGCTTGTTTAATTCTCTTCCTGTTAATGAGAAAAATATTTATGCTCATAAAACTAGCTTAATTTCTTATCTGCATACTCAGATACAAAACATTTCAATATCTTTTTCTTTACAGATTTTCAATTTTTTGATGAAAGTAAACCAGTCATGCATGTTCAAGAACATTTCATATTATCAATGGTTAATAGATCTATATTTTTCTTTAAATTCCTTAAAAATTCTATTTTCTCACATGAAAATGCAAAAAAAAATTTGTATTCTTTCCTTTTGTAAAAACTGCCGACAAATTGTTGCTTTCTATCCAAATTGTGTAGATGCAAATATCATGATATTAAAGAAATATTATCAATTTAAACTATTGCAAAACCTTAATAAGATGTTAAAAGAATAATTACAAAATTATAATTTCCTCTCATATTTCCACATTAGTTAAGTACAATTTTGTATTAAGTAAGAATTAGGTTAATAATAGATATGTATTACATTGTTAAATATTACAGCAGAATTTTTGCAAAAGCTATTAAGTAAAAACAAATTTCTGTTTCTAGATCCACAAAAAATGATTTTTCTAGCTTTATAATACTGAATACCTTTAACAATGCTGTACCTCTGTTTATTTTATCATGGTATATATATATATATATATATATATATATACACACACATGCATGTTATACAGTTTATCTCTGATATGTTATTTATGTTGTATAATCTTTCTTTTGCTCTTTCAGGAGGAAGGTGCCCTTCAAAAGACAAAACGAGAAGAAACTTGGAGTGTATTAAAAGATGATTTCATGATGGGAGCAGAAATGAAAGATTGGGATAAAGAAAATAGTGATGATGATAAATAAATATATATTGTTATGGTTTTATTCCTAAAAAATTACCATTGACACAATATAGAATTTGGTCATTCAGATAAATATATTACATAATGTTTAGTCAAATTTTAGTTAAGTTATAAATGCCATATTATGCTAAATGTAAGATGATCTTTTCCTAGTAATGTCTTCCTGAAAACTATATTAGATATCTAGCATAGCATTTAAAAATTATATTGCAACAATACATCTCATCACTTTTTTTATTTTTCTTAATTGAGAAAATACACCATTATGCTTATATAAGGGCACATGGGGGAAACTAATAATGCAATTTTTTACAGTTTCTAATGATCGTCAGTATTAGAAAGAGTGGTTAGTTTTAAGCTAATTTTTTTAACTTTATCAAGTATTTAGAAATTATTGCTTTCTACGTCATGATAAAAATTGGGGATGAAAGTGGCTTGAGATGCCATCCATAAAGTTTGTGACAAGTTTTATTAGAGGTTTTATCGCCAGCCTACAAATAGCAGGATGATATTTAGATTGCATCATAACAGAAATTGATTGTGATGGAATAATTATGGATTAAATTTGGTAACAGTAAATACGACACATTAAACATCATTTCTACATACACTGATGCATTCAAAGATGTAATACCATCATTTTAAAGACTAGTAGTGATATTTCAACATAGCTAATTGAATGGAATATTAGCATGTTGTTGCATTAGTAATTACCTTGATTGTCTCTCAGCTGTGGTCCTCGGGTGAGTTTGGTTGCTAGGGCTGATGCCCCATTAATTATTAATTTATTTCACAGACAGCTAATACTAGCAAATATTCTTCACAAAGTATCCAAATGATTTCTTGGCCAGTATAATGACATGTTTCTTCTTGCTTATTAGGAATGAGAAGAAATGTTTCATTGAGTAAATGCTGTTTTACATCTTTGTAAGAAAGATGAACTTAAAAACTTTGCCAATATAGTCAACAGCTTTCTAAGGCAGTATGATGATCATTATTATTATTTGGGCTTTTGCAAAACATGCAAGGGCTATCAGTCTAATAAAAGGAATGCTTTTATAGAGGAGTTTCTAAGGGAAAAGAAGAGAAGAAAGAATTTGAGCGCTTGTTGAATTGATGCCATGCCTAATTAATGATTGCCACATTTACTCACATATTTTCCTATTATTTGTTACTAATTTTGTTATACAAAAATCAAGAGGGAAATATTATAGGAATTACAGTAAAAACCAAACAAATTAAAAGTATTAATGGATAAACTACAGGCATCTATCTCAATATTATTTCTTTCAAAAATCCTACACTGTAATAAAAATACACATTTATATTATCATTACATATCTAATAAGATACCTTCATTTCTACTTTATCTTAAACCTCACCTTTTCTCATTATTGTCCACTGCTAATCTCTGGGCCTCAAATCATTTTATGGTACTTGTCTTTGTCGTCTGCTACAACTTGTCTTCACCGTTCAGTCTATTTTTCCACGACAATGAAGCATCTTGGACATTAAGGTACTAATATTCTCTTGAAGGTCGTCACTGTTAATGCGTCATCAAGCAAAGTATACAAATTCCATGAGGAAATCAATTAGAAAGAAGAAAACAATCACTACATGAACGAATCCATTTTAATATGTAAGGAAGCTCGCTTTCTGAACGTCTTGAGGAAAGGGAAATATAACAAAGCATAAAAAAATTTCATAACATTGTGTCGATGTTTCTTGGTGATTATTCTTGAAGTTTGCTCATTGGGCATGTTTAGCTGTTTGATTTTTCAAAATGTACCACTCTATGTGTCAAGTTTTTTCTTATTTAACCCTTTAACTGTCAAGTTATTTTGATGATTTTGGGTACACAAATTGTCAAATTTTTTTATTGCAAAAACCAAATGTTTAGTACAAAATAAAATATACTTAAATAGTTAAAAATTGATATTTTGACGTACATGGGTAAAATTTTTAAAGTTTTGTAGCCACTGCATATTTTCTTTGAGGCAACTGTCACTCAACATGGCAGTTGCAAAGTTCGCTTCTAGTGAAGCATTATTTTCTAAAAATAAAAATAACTATTTCCTAAAACATAAATAAATATAAGTGAATACCTATTAGTAGTTCAGTAATTCAGTCTTATGTGGTACAACTGGAAACACTTTTCCAAGCACAAACCAACTCCACAATCACTACACCAGAATCGTGATTCCTTCCTTACCTTTTCCCCATTTTTATCCTTTTTCGAACAACACACTTTGCACTGTCTTGTAGGCTCACATTTTGCAGGAATGGGATATAAAATGTCGTTCAGTAAGACGGGCAGGGTTATCTATTAGTAGGTGGTCTGCCAACATTCTTTTGTCCAGAAGCTGCATCATCATATTTATGTAAAAGCTCTTCTACAACTTGGATTCGAAATTCTAAAAATGTAATACGTTTCCCAACTACATTTTTATAGAGCAAATATGATTTCCAGAGTACCTTTTCTAGTAAATGTAAAAATATCTTTTTATAATATTTTACTGACTTTTCGGATTGTTGGATGAAAGGATATTTCCTGATCACAGCGATCTACATCACCCATAGTTAGACCGTAATTAGAAACAATCTTCGGCTTGAGTATATCTCCATTTTTTATTTTTCAGGCTGACCATGGAAGTATCATGAATACTGCTCATCAAACACACATCCTTCATCTTCGGTTGAAGAATCTAAATCATCTATATAACGTTTCAAAGAACTGGACGCTATTTTACAACAAAAAGATCCCATGCACCTTGAACCAAATAACCTCTAACCTTTGAAATCTTCAGTAAAGTGCTGTCATCTATTGAACTGAGTGCACATTAACTTTTCCCGAGATACAGTCGGGTTTGACAAAGAGATGAAGCCGAAATAAACGTCTCCCGATATATATTCGGGTATAACAATACGATGTACTCAAAAAAAAAATTACCCCGAGTTAATACTCGGGCGTGACATTTTCTAACACTAGTGCTGTGCCCAAGATTATCTCAGGCATGACAGTTAAAAGGTTAAGGAATTTTTGTAAAATTATGCAGTCAGAAAAGCAGTGTTATATTAAAATTACTTTTATTTCAAAGTATAATATTTATCCCTTTCAGAAATATATGTTCCACCTTAATAGTCGGATTAAATTGGTATATACAGTAAATTCCTCATTAACTGGGGTATTACTGATGATGATGTTCGTGAACCCCTTCAATGGTGACTTACAGAAATCTTCCAGGACAAGACATTCTGGTCATACCATTTAAGAAGTTAATCCATCAACAATTAAAAAACATAAAAAAGATGAGTAATCTGTATTCTAATTAACAGAAAAATACTATTAATAATTAACTCATTTTTATTTATAAAATAAATTCAATTCATTATGTAAATTAGCATCCAATGCATTACTACATGTCAAGACACAAGGAACAAATGTTACTTTTGTATTTCTATAGGAGTTAACGAGAAACAGAAGATTAATGGCTGTACATGTAATTCAGTTTTTCAATTTAGCAATTTTTTAAAACAGATGATTAACAATATTTACATATTCCAAATAATGTATTGAAAAAAGTTGGTACTGTGATATCCTCTGCTGTTATACTGTGCATTTTCTTCTCTTTTTGATATTTGTAGGAATTATCTTGCATGCATGTTTCTGATGAATTATAATTTTTTCACTGTTCCACCGTAAACAAACTTTTTAGACAAGGTCCAGTTAATCAAGAGTTGACTTAAATTATTCTAACATCATGAATTATTTTTATAATTTTTTTTGGGGGGGGGGAGTTATTTTTAATCATTTATCATTGCACTCTTAATGACATTATTAAATTCTGAAGGCGTAAGCAAATGTAAAATATGAAATCAAGAAAACTGAATGTGGAAATATTTCTTTATAAGAGATCTTTTAACTAGTTAGAAAGTATTGAATCAGCTTAGTTCAACTGAATTGATATTTTTATCCTCATTAAACATGAACGTTACTGAACCTAGAATAACAGATATCCCATTCAAAAGATATTTGCATTTGTGGAAGGGATAGAAGAAACCATCCTTTTATATTTCAAATAGTTCAAAAATTTTAATAGGTGTCCCATGGTAATGTTTTGCCGTTAGATCTGGTTACAAAAAAACAGTAAAATAAATGCTGTACATACTTTTTATTCTCATCTGCTTTCTGACAATACAATTCCACAAAAATATAAGTGATGTACATACAATAGATGCAATACATAACATACTTTTGTGCTAAAAAGTCATCAAAATTATGCTTTGCAAATTCACATAGGAAGCAATGTAATCTTAACTTTTCCTTAAAAATAAATTCTATTTTTTTTCGTTCTCTGATATAAAAATTAATTTTGATTTGTAGATCGCAGTAAATGCTTGCACCATTATTTATGTAATATATTTACTGTCCTTAGCTGCAAATAAATGAACTTTTATTTCAGTTACAACAAGTGAAATATTTCTAAGAAAAGTATTTGTCGTGACCTTATGCATGAGGAGTCAGCTACTCCTGACAAAGGAAAAATCTGCATTTTGCACTAACGCTGCTTTTCGCAAAGGAAAAACATTGGCATTAAACTTTATTTCCAATCATTTTAGTTTCCTTAGTGCATCAAGTGATGAAAAAATGCAGTTCTTTCTTCTTTCCATGAATCTTTGCTTTTTTTTTTTTTTTTTCTTTCTAATTGGTTAGAAAGGATGAAAATTATATAGAACAAAAGCAAATGCTCATGACAAAATATTCTGTATTCATTGGAAACACTTCTTGCATATTTTTTCCCCTTTTAGTTCTTTTACTAAGCCCATCTTGGATGTCATACTACTGGTCAATACTTCTTCCTAAAGTTCCTGTGCTGCCATGAAATGAAAACTGTTGGAAATATGGTTGTTCCATTTCTTCAGAAATAGAATTAAGTGGGCCTTGATCTGGAGGAGTTAGTTCTACAGATTCTCCAGTGAATTCCTGATCAAAATAACGGGTGTCTGTATCTGAAGTTACTAATGGTTTAAAAGGAGGAGTAACCTGCAAAAATAAAAAAATAATTATGCACATTATTTGCTATAAGTGATTTTAAATACATGACTTCGCTATTAAGTAGTTATGCATAAACTTACGATGTGTACATATTAAAAAACGTGTTTTTTTGTATAGGATTTTCAAAATGGCAAAGTTTTGTATTATTGTTAAAGACAAATGCATTTAAAAGCCTTTTTATTTCTCCAAATTTAAATCTGGAACAATATGATACGATTATCTTTTGTCAGAATAAAATAAACCACACTTAATCCTTATGAGCCCTATCTGTGGCCGACTGATTACGATCATTGTATACATGATTAACCCACAAAAGTGGGCTAGCTGCATAGGTGTTTTTGTGGCTTTCCTCATGTATAACATGGATATGAGCCAATTTCTCTTTGAATACGAAGTTGTCTCAGACAGTCCGTCCTCATGTTCTTTGTCATATTCTAATAATCTAATCTCTTAACCCTCAAACACATACAAATATTTGTGCATGTCTGGTTGGTACCTGCAAAGAAGAAATATTTTCTCTATATAAATTGCACAGTCATTTGGTTATAAAAGGGGGGTAGTTAAATATCAGAGGAAGTGGTTTTAGTACACAGATTGAAATTAAGTTATAATTTTCTATGAACTGGTTTATATGTATCAACTTTGTGTTTTGTTTTCTGCCAGTTTTAATGGATTTCTCTGGAACCCCTTTATTACCGAGAATTAAATATATCTGAGCATAAATATTTACTTTATTCAGAATAATTTGAAAACATAGTATAATGCTTAGACTCATAATGCTTTATATAGAAAAACACTGAAAGGTAAAAACATTCCCACACCAATAAATCAATCCCATAAAAGGAAGACAATGAAATATTTTTCATTTACAACCATATGGTAAATGGCCTTACAATGTATATTACTAACTAAGAGCACTGGATAACATACTGTTTATTTGAAATCAGTTCTGGCTGAGGTAATTTTTGTCTCAACTGTGTGCTTGCTGTTGTGTCTCAACTGTGTATAACTTGCTGAATCCGTGAGAAAACTTCCAAATTTAATATTCAAGTGCTTTCTAAAAATCCACCACACCTTTTTACCTAATTTATAACTTAGATTATTCATTCATGAAATTCTTGTTATAAAGTTAAAAGAAAATTTAAGAATATTATTTCCAGAACAAATGCTATAATTTTATGTCAACTGAAAAGAAATAAAATGCTAAATGAAACACACACAGTGATATATACATTGTATGCCTTGTATACATATATATATATATTTACAAAAATAGTCACCTTTTTCTCCAGAAGATCTTGCCATGGCATGGAGCGGAAAAAAGGATCCAACATAACTTCTTTTGCATCATCAGGACCTCCTCCTAGCCTTAATTAGACATTAATTTTATTAAAAGCATTTCAATTTATGCATTTATTATAAGTTTATTGCTGCAGTAAAAAATGTGTGTAGTTTAATAGATTGTGCAAAGAAGTCCTGTGGTGTCCACATCAGATATTTTTAATAGACACATATAAAAGCAATTTAATTTGAATTTGTATTTATTAAAACATAATATAACAAAAACTTTCAAAATTCATTTTAAGTAAACACTTTCTGATAACCTCAAGATAGTTTTTTTTACCAATATACAGTTGCATGGAGAGTAAAATAAATCTGTTTCTCTTGGGGTGAAAACAGAAGATAGCACCTTTTCCAATCAACGGAAGATTAAAAATAGTAACTAATATATGAAATAATTATCAATGAAAAACAAGAATTTTCATCAGAGGAAAAAACAATATATGAATGAATGAAACGTAAACTTAGTATACATATGCAGTCTGTTTTTTTTTTTTTTTTTTAACTACTTAATATCTATACTATATGTTATTGCTCTCTCTTATTTAAGTTGCACAGTTTAAGGTATACCCAGTTTTCATTTAATAAAATACATGGATAAACAAAAAATATTACCCCATGGATAATTAATTACCTTTTTAATTCATTCACTACAGATTTACCCCATGCATGATTATTTTCTTTACTCGTTAACTACATACTTACTAGTTCCAAAATTTGGAAAAATTTTTGCTTTGAATATGTGAAGTACAAAATCTGAAATCCGAGCGTCTAATATCCGGATCACAATATATGTGTATGTGTGTGTAATAATAAATTGATAAAATGAGAAAATTTAGTAGAACTATTTGCCGACAATCATGGCTGGAGTGACGGGGACAGTGATAGCAGATAGCTTGGCTCTCTGACATAATAAATAACTGGCCTCTTTTAAGGAACCAAAATCACTTGATAATCTGAATGATCTCTTCATTATTTGTTGATTCTTATCAACTTATCTCATTACATTGCACTCCATAATGAAGGCAATCTGCAACCAACAATTTTAATTATGTAGTTACATTTTTTTAAACAATAGAGAAATATAGCCAAGCGAGAGATGTTGCTCATTCAGGCTAAAGTAAGCAGCAAAAAAGAGTGCACACAATGCAGCTGAAGTATTTATACTTGGAAATTTTTTTGCCTGAGTTCTAAATGATGAGTGGCTAAAAGCTCACCGAAATGTGGATCTCTGCATAGAAAGAAATATAGTCAGTGCGGATGTAATGGGAGTTGTACTAATATTCACATCAGAAATGTAAAGGTGTACTGCCAAATAAGTTTTTCACACACACACGTGTGTGTGTGTATATATATATATATACAAGCAAACACATGTGTGTGCGATTTATATATATATATATATACAGACTTGGTTTTGGAAAAAATTAAAATATAAGAGTAGTATCTCACTTTAATATATGCTTAATGCTTCATGCGTGTGCAATAGACTTTTTTTATAATAAAGCAAGTGGAGGGATTCTTAATTTCACATCAGCATTAAAACACCTTCATCTTGAAAAAACACAATTATTTATTTGCATAAATCAGTTATGATTAATAATTTTGCTCTGTAGCCATCTTTCTGTTTGACATACATATCAAACTGAAACACCCTACTAAAGTTCACCACTCATTTTACACTTACTGAATAAATTATATTTCCTACGCCAACCAGATTAATTATTTTCTGCTTTCATCATCACATGACTAAACTCAGGACAACTTGAGAAATAAATCAAGAAAAGATGTCTAAAACAAACTTTTTTTTTAATATTCTAACTGAATTCTAAACAGCATGGTAACTTGTTACCCTTAGCAAGTTGAGTGTGTTGATGAGGAGAAATTTAACAAAAATTTCTCTCCATATAGAAAAATAAAAATTTGTAAATGATATTCATAGGTCAAAATATTACATTTAATGCAGTTTTGATCAAGAATGACTGATTTATATATATATATATATATACATATAAGCCTTAAGTATCTGCCAGAATTTATTTTTTTCAGACTCGCATAAGCATATACTAGACTTACAATATATGTACAATATACAATAAACTGATGTAAGTATAATAAATAACTAACATAATTAAGGCTGAACTTCCTCTGCACAAAATTTAGTGGGACAATCTCATGACATATCAGCAACGGTATATTAGCGAATGCTAGTTAAGTTTCATGATGATAGCCACAAATTCTAAGGTTTCCAGATATCAAGAACAAAACGCAAAATTTTCCAATGAATGAAATTTGTGAAAAAAATGTGGCGAAGTAATATATGAAGATGATATAACAGAAGTTTCCAATTGTGATCACAATGCCTCAATCATCAAACCACTAATGTATGGGAAAATCTGTAGTATGGTTCTAAATCCAGAAAATACCATCACCAAAAGTGAAGAAAGTTATAGACAGGTTGCTGAGAATGAAAAAAGTTTTACCGATAATTTAGTCAAAATTCTCAATAAAGCAATTACAGGTCTTGAAGAATGGAACTTAGTAGCTGGATAAGAAATTATGTTTATCAATAAAATTAAAGAGAAAGTATACACACAAAAAATAAAGCAATTTGAACAACTTACATTGAGAGAAATGTTTAATAAAACAAATAAATAAGTATTGAAGCTCTTTTGTAAATTTTAATATCCTTAAGATCATAAATGCTTCAGTATTTTATAAACAACTGTTTTGTATTTTTAATTTTATAATTTATATGTTTCATCTTACTAGATTTAAACTGACGATCTAAAATACAGAAAATTCCAAAATCTAGAATCAGCGAAGTCCCAGTGTGTCCACATCTCAGACTTTGTACTGCACATATATATTAGAAATTTAGAAAAATTACTATTAATTATTAAATTAACACAAAATGCTGCAAAATTAATTAAACAATAAAGAATTCACATAGTAACAAACTTACAAAGAGGAACAGAAACAAAAGTAGATCAATAAAAGAATATTCATAGAATATTTAATAATGAATAAAAAATAAAAAATCATAAATAATAGTTGAAAATTCCTTGGGCTTTCTTCAAGAAGCAGCCTACAGAACTTTTAACAGTGCCATAGTGCTGAATTATGCCCTATGAGTAAGTTTGACATTATATAAGATTTAATTTATGTTTATTTCTTGTTTATATAAATGTACATATATATATAGGGCTTGAAATAATTTTAAAAATCTAGTTGCCAAAAAAAGAAAAAAATTCTGGTTGCCATTCTTCTCAATCCTGCTTCCCAAAATAATAGAAAATTACTAGTACTAATCATTCCAGTGCTGTTAACTTTTTACACAGTCTCTTAATTAATGGAATTTGCTGTATCGTCTTCATCTAACTTATGCTTCAGACACTCTTTGGTTGCACTACTAATGCGTCTTGATGTTTTGCTTCCAAAAACCAAGAGCCTATTGCTCTTTGTGGCTGAAAGTTTATTAGTGAAATCCATTGTGTTCAATCATCATAAAGTCATTGACCTATGAAAGAGATGTCTTACTGATATTCATTTGGCTAAAATCTTGTTTACAAGATACTGTGGAAGATAGAAAAAATGCTATTATTGACCATAACTGAATAGGAAGAGAATTTTTTTTTTTTTTTCGTGAATTTGCTTTAGAAAGCAATTCATTTATTTCACCCTGTTCTAAAACGTTAAACTTGTACATTCTGTAAAAACTTCAAGTTTTGCTCTTTGGAAGACAGGCTTTGAAATGACAGATATCCTTTGAAGTGATTGTATAAAGTAACAATTTCATCCTTTTTGTAACTTCACAAACTGTCATGAGGTCGCATGAAAGTGTCAAAGACAATACTTGCCTTTATAATACCCAAAATCTCATCCCAGAAAAAATTTCATAAATTTCTACTGGTCTGAATCAAAATTTTGACAATCAATATTTGTAAGATGAATGTTCCTAAACTTCCCACTAATAGCAGTTAAATTGACAAACTGTTGTTCATATGTGGCTTAGATTCCCAGTCATTCAGCTCTCAGATTGCCCTGTTAATGAGCCTCTACTTTGCTCAAAATTCTGATCTTTGTTTGAAAAATCAGAAAAAGTTCCTAGAGAATAGAAAGAAAATCTAGCAAGAAATGTAAAGTTAAGACAAAATGAAAGTTTTTCATTTTTTTCAATAATCCTCTGGCCACAACAGCATCCTTTTTCTTTTCATTTGACACTCCTAAATGAACAATTAGTAAAGTCAATGAAAGTTTTTCCATTTGTTTCAATAATCCTCTGGCCATAACAGCATCCTTTCCCTTTTCATTACACTCCTAAATGAACAACCAGTAAAGTCATAGTTGTTTAACAAAGCAAGAAAGGAACCAATTTTAAAATTCATGTAAATATGAATTTCAGGAGTTTTTACTGCAACTGCTGAGCAGCTTTGCCTAGTTGCCTTAGTCTTTTTGGAGAATTACTGTAAAATGTATACAGTTTCTTAAGAACATCATCCAGTTCATCAAGATACTGTGTCCGAGTCCACACACTTAAATTTAACTTGTGTGCAATACGGTACTGTGTTTCAAGCTCCTTTATGTTCGTTTTCAACATGGTAGATACATCAACTTCTCTTCTGATCATGTTAGCAGCCCCATCTGTTCCAAGACCTCAGTTTCTGCCCTGCCAACTGATTCTAGCTTTTGCAATTTGTGATCTAAAATTTTATAGCAATGTAATGCAGAATCTCTTATATACTCAACATATGTTATTAGTTCTTCCTCTGTATATTTATCAGTTGATGCATCCAAAAAAATGCTAACACAACTACAATCTAAAATTTCTGCAATAATCTCCTTACTACTAATAGCTGTAATATGAGAAATAAATTCCCTGCACTGTACATCATTTTGATATTCACTGACAGCAACACTTACTTCAAATTTATTATGCAGCTTAATCAAATCTTTTAAAATCAGAAAATGGTTTATTGTGCTTTGCAATAAGCTGTGTTAAACAGCTTTTCTAAGTGCTGAAACGATCTTACATAATTTTTATCTGGTACACTACTAATGGTGTGGAGTGGAATTTGTACAGCTATAATTTCCAGCAAGCAATCTTTGCACATTTGTGACTGATTGTGTAATTTGAAAGTTCCTAATTTGAATAGCCCACTGAAAATTTGCACAACCCGTGAGTATCCATCTGCTATTAACATCATGCACACTCTACAATGAGCAATACCATTTTCATATGATAACCACTGCTTTCTGAACTGCCTCTTGCATTTTACAGCTATGACAATTGATGCTGGTATCACATTGCACAGAAGACTCATGTGACAAATCCAGTTGTTCAAAAAATAACAAGATACTTTGATTTCTCTTGATTATCATAGGAGGAAAAAATTTGAATGAATTCACTAACAAACATGTTTATTATAACTCTACTAGCGAAGTACCCATGTAGCATGGCAGTTACGACCATATTAAAATTATCACACACACATACATTTCAACATTACTTTCATGAAGCGAAATAAACACGCATAATTTCAATAAATGGCTACTACAGAGAGTAAGGTATTTTAGAAGCTGATAAAATATTTCACAACCAAATGTAAATGGCCAAATGACCTTCTTTTTAAGTTTCTAATAATTCTGTGTGCTGAAAAGCGACCCATTACTTATGCATTTTAATGTGGCATTGAACCATAAATCATGTAGTATAGAAATTTATTTTATATTCAAAGACAGAAAGGTATGGCATGACTATAAATAAAATGTAGCCTGTCGCAAAAATAAATCATGAAAGTAGACAACACAAATATTAGCCACACATTTCCAAGGTTATCCCCACTCGTCAGCTAAAATATCTTAGTTGCCAGAGGAAGGCTGGCAACCGTTATTTTGAACCCTGTAACATACATATACATGTATATATTAAATTCACTATGTCAGTGCAAGTAGTTTAAAGATCTAAGAATTTCTTAATAATTTTAGAGTTGTGTCATAATTATATAGTATTGTTATAGCTATCTAGTTCGAGCATAGATATTTCTGTTCTTATTAATAAATCAGGTTTGCTGATTAATTCACTGCATCTGAACTAGCAGGATGCATATCTAAATAGATATTAAAATACAGTACTGCTTTTGAGATTAAAATAATAATAATTTCTGAATAAAGATTACCTCTTCTTTGGATCTTTAACAAGTAAACCACTGAGAAGAGATCTAGCCTCGGGAGAAAGGTTTTTGGGAAATTTTACTTCTTCTATTAATATTAATTCAAATAAGATATCATGATCTCTATTGTAAAATGGGAGACGACCACACATCATCTCATACATGACAACTCCTAATCCCCACCAATCAACAGCACGGCCATAATCAGTATCTTCTAAAACCTAATTAAAAATTCCATACAAGAAAATACTTTAGAATGCAACAGAATTTACAGTTTATTAATAATTTCAAATAAATTAATAAATTAAACATATTCATGAGTTCATTATACAAGGTGTCTCAAAACTCCTGTAGAAACTTTTAGGAAAGGCATGAAAACATTGTACCACATTCACATATGAAATCATGACTGGACATGTCACTGTAGGAGATAGAAGCAATACAGCAAGATATAATAGACAAAGCATTGTAAAGTAAAGTGAACTTAACAGTAACAAGTGATAGACATAGAATACAATTTCACAGGTCAATTCAAAGTTCCAACCATTTACAGTGATGCATGTCTAATACTGATATATCATGGACTGTCAAACATTTTCAAAGATACCTGGAGTTCAGTGAATATTAGCAGCAGTCTGTCCACTACTATCAGCTAATCCATACACAAAGTGCATAACCACCAACTCGGTGTTCCTGCACTTCGCATTGTATATTCTCACTGTGACACAGCAAGGTTTGATGAGAGACCTCCTGGCGCCACTGGCATGCAGCATCACCTATCAGTTTCCAATCCTGCTTTCTTATCTGAATATATAGTTCACACTGATGTTCTCTCTCTCTCTCAGAATTTGTATGCAAATCCTCCTCAAAATATGCATATAGAGTTTTGAGACACCTTGTAGACACCTTTAAAATGATGAACCATATAACGTACATAGCTGCCAGCTTCTCCAATTTTACTGGAATCTTCTGTTTTAATTTTTAGCCTTTACAAAGGGAAATGTTTCTTAGCAATAAATAAAATTTATTCAATCAATGAACCAAACTATGTGCAAATTACTTTCCTCTACTTTTATGAATCCCAGCATACTTTTCCTCATTAAATTTTATTTCATTTGAATTAACTTCATCTACTGTAGACATATACAGAACTCTTAATGACGATTCAACCAGGTTTATTGCATTTAATTTTGTTTTATATCAATATATAGTACATTACTGAGTTTATCCACATGATGTACATACACTAAATATTAATTTTATTTTCATAGTGTTTAATTCTTTTGATAAATAAAACCTTTTCTTTCCTGCTTGGGACTAATAATTTAAAAGTGTAAGATGATTACAAAATGAAATTAGCCAAAGAATGTAAAATTTTAAATATTTAGCTTTATATTAATGTATTTTATATTAGTATTATATCAGAAATACACTCTTTTGCAAAAAAATGAAGCACCAAGGACTTTTGCGATTGTGACGAAATTTCGTATGCAAAAACATCTTGATCAAACATGCAAATGATCAAGTTTCAAGGCTAAGGAACAGGAATTGCGATCACAGCGTGCATTTGTAGTGTGCAATTCGCAAACTATAAAACCAGTAACAGAGGTGGCAAATTTATCTTTTTTTGTTCTTGCCATTGTAATTCTGTAAAGAAGCAACTAATGCCATTACAACGATACTGAAGACCTTACAGACAACTAAATGACTTCGAACGTGGTCAAATTGTAGGGTTGCGTGAAGCCGGGTGGTCATACCAAGCAATAGACTGCCACCGGCAGCATAGGGACACTGCTGTGCAAAGATGTTGGCTGCAATGGTTGCTAAATAGAAATAGACAAAAGGAAGGCTCCGCAAGGCCAAGGAGCACAAATAGGAGGCAAGATAGGATGATTGTTCACCAGGCCCGAGCCACCCCAATGGTATCATTGTTGACTATTGAACGCATTACAGCCACGTCTATACTTCCCATGGTGCCGTCCACCATCTCATGCCACTTGTCTGAGGTGGAGTTACGCTCACAGTGGCCTTTAAAACCTTTGCCTTTAACCAGACAAGATCGGCGGAGTCGTCTGGAGTCGTGTAGCTGATCATCATGGCTGCCATCAGACTGGCATCGTTTAGTGTTCAGCGATAACTTCCGCTTCACTCTTGAAGCAGATGACCACCATGTTCATGTCTGGAGAGGACGAGGCCAGCGGTTCCAATCAGCCCTTGTTTTACAAAGGCCCTTGGTGTAATTACCCTTGGTGTAATGATGTGGGACACTATTTCTTATGACAGCAGGTCACCTTTGTCAGCCTCCGTATATCTTTAACAGCTCAATGTTATGTTGATATCCACCTGCGGCTGGTGGCATTACCCTTCATGGCACATCATCCTGGGGCCATTTTCCAACAAGATAATGCTAGGTCACATACCGCTCGCATATCTCTGGACTCCGTGCAGTTGATACTCTTCCTTGGCCGGCAAGGTCACCAGACATTTCACCAATCGAGCATGTCTGGGACATGGTAGACTGCCAGATTCAGGCACCACAAAATATTGCAGATCTGGAGCGACAACTGATGAATGCCTGGCAGAATGTGTCGCAGGATGACATTGGGAACTTTTGCCACTCCTTGGCTCAATGAATTCAAGCATGCATTGCCGCCAAGAGCGGTTCGACCAACTACTAATTTGAACACTCAATGTGTGATTGTGAGCCATGAAGAGGTACTATGAGCTTGATTTTTTTATTATTTTATTATCTGTGTATGAGCTATATACATATTCAATTCCATCAAGAACAACCATTTCCTTCATGGTGCTTCACTTTTTTTACAAAAGAGTGTACTTCAAAAACCTGAACTGTGCATTATAAAGTGTTTTGAAATGAGATCACCACACTGAATAAAAACCTCCAGGAAACTCCCAGTTTTTCTGCTAGAAACACCCAATTCTTTGTATTTCAAAACTAGTTACAATGAATAATGTTGAAGGCATTTCTAATTATAGCTTAAATCAATGTTTCTCAAATTTTTTTAATACTGCGACCCACAAGCATATTAGTTGCTTTGAAAACAGAAGGGGGAAGGGGAGTCTTAGAGGGAAATAATGTAATAATGAAGTAATAATAAACAAACATGGGTAACTATTTGTATTTAATTGACATTAATCACTTCATAATTACAGGTGCATGTAAATACATAACAAAAACAACAACAACAACAAAAAAGTATTTCAAAACTGTATGCAACCTATCAAAAATTGGGTACTTACGTATTATCGCAACCAGGTTGACGCTATTCGTAAGTTTTGACGCTATTTCTAAGTTTGAGTAAAAAAGTATGAATAGAAAGAAAATGTACATTTATTAATTACAGATAATTTTTTAATACAGTTTTTTATATTATTTTTCTTTTAAAAATAAAATAGCAATTAAACCCTTCCGGTTTTCGAATTTGAATAAGTTGCAGAATTATTTTTTTTTCGGCGGAAATCTTTTGGCTATTGCTTTTAGCACTGATTTAAAACTGTATTCGCCATAACCATGTACACGTCGACTTATTTTTACTTAAAAAAACATCCCAGAATTGCACAAAAATGGCATTGCGCACACTCTTCACTTTATCCATGTACACTGCTATTTTCTCATAAATTACAAAAATTTGCTTGCACGAAAATGCAGGTAAGTTTTGTGAATCTCCACATGCTTTTTTTACAAAACTACGTATAACACGTAGGGTTGCCAAATTTCGCAATTTATGCAAATTTGATCAAATCTGTAAAAATTCTTATACCAAATGGATATACTTATTTGTCAGTAAAATCACTTTATTTCATTGGACTAGTAATGGAACGACTCTCTACAAAAGCACAAAAACAGATAGAATAATGAGTTAATTCGAAAAACTTCTTTTACAGTCTTCCAGTTCAAGTAGTTCAAAAAATCTTCCCATTGTAAACATCAAGCCAATAGTTAATATTTCTAATGTTAGTCTTTCAGAAGAACAAGAGAGAATTCTAAAATATAATTTTAACTTCTCACAAACCTGTAAACCCTCGATTCCAAAGATTTTGGCTCCTATCGAAAAAGCTTTCAAGTTCAGTAAAGTTTCAGATTCACAGAAAGAAATGATTAGGCATCTTATCGCTCATAATGTGAAATTCAATAATAAACCTTTGAAACCAAATCTAACTGCGAGAGAAAGAGCTACAATGCGCGAAATTCATTCTAACCCGGATATTATCATTTCAAAGGCCGACAAAGGTGGCCAGATAGTCGTCATGGATAAGAACACTTACATCGATGGTGTCACTAAACTCTTAAACGAAGGACCATATAATCGATCCCTAAAGATCCTTCACCTTCGGACTTATCCAAAAATAAAAACTGCGATCAAATCTTCGCAAAATCATTTCAAGCAACTTAAAACATTCGCTTATCCCATCTGTTGCGAATTGTGCCAGATTATATGCTCTTCCCAAAATTCATAAAAGTGGTATTCCTTTCCGCCCTATTGTATCAAATTTAGGTACTGCCTCGTATCCATTAGCTAAATATTTAGTTTCTAGATTTTCCACTCTATTAGACAATAACATTTACACCATAAAAAATTCATATAGAGTTTGTAAAAAAAAGGTTAAAAACATTTCTCCTAGTAATTTACTCATGGTTTCTTTTGATGTAAAATCATTATTCACCAATGTTTCATTCAGTGGAGGGTGCATTAAGATGTCTAGAAACTCATCACTCAACTCTGTTTGAAACACAAATATTACAAGCAAACTGAGGGATTAGCCATGGGAAGCCCCCTCAGTCCCATCCTGGCTGATATCTACATGCATTATTATGAATCAAAATTGTTTGAAACTTTAAACTTCCCGGCATGGTTCCGCTACGTAGACGATACTTTTACCCTGTTTGAAGGTAATAAAGATGATTTAAATAGAGTTCTTTCAACAATGAATTCTATTGATCCTGCTATTCAGTTCACTTTTGAACTTGAGACTTGCAATTCTCGTTTCCGTTTCTCGACATTCTGGTCACACGTAACACATCCAACTTCAGTACTACAGTTTACCGTAAACCTTCATCGGTTTGCCTTCCACCACACTTTAAATCATGTCATCCGACTAAACAAAAGTTAGCTTCATTTTATTCCTATGTTTTCCGTGCTCTTCAAGTTTGCTCCTCCAAACTAGCCCTTGATGAAGAACTAAATTATTTAAAAGCAAT